GGAACTAGCTAAAACAACACGAGCAGAGTTAGAAACAATTGCTGGATCGTTCCATCAGTCTTAGACCACACAGCATCGCAGCCACTGGCTACCTTGTTACCAGGGTCTTCCTTCGTTGAATGGGGACTCGAGTGAAAATCATTATTGTAGTCACTTTCTTTTGAGTTTTTCTTTTTCGCCTTTCGATGGCCTTTGAGGACGTTGGAAAACTTTTTCGTAGTTCTCCAACGTTTTTCCGTGCTGGTTTGGCCACCCGCCAGGAAACAGGACGAGTCATAGTTTACTCGTGTCAAGGGCCAATACATTTTACAGGGATTACGCTTTGTTCAATGCCAGAGTGCTGGTTTAGATTGCAGAGAAATTGAGTGATACTGGTGAAAATAGACAATCACTGGTTCGCTTTTGCGAACTAGTAGCGTTGTAAAGACACAATGATCTCAACAGAACTTATGCAGACGAAACTCCACCAACGGCCACCTCTTTATAACGGCCCCTTTTTTGTCCCGGCGGACGGTCCATAAATTCGCTCTAATTTTAACCTCTTAATAACGGCCACTAGAGTGCCTTCCAACCGCCAAAATAACCATTGGAACACGGCCATTTAATCAACGACTGACGAACGGTGTTTACAAAACCCCAGGTCGTGAAACTTGAGCCGTACTGCGCGTCGTTGGTCTCTGTTTCTTGTCTTTGGTTTATTCTTAAAATATTCTTAAAATTTCAATATTTAGGCCTCGATATAATTAACAAATAAAGAAGCCTAAGCCGTGTATTACACTGTGATAAAACACGACGGGCATTAGAGAAGTCGAGGGAAATGTAGACAACACGAGCCGCAGGCGAGTGTTTTCTACATTTCTCGAGTGTTCTTTATGATATAGAGGTAATGTGGCGAAAAAAACAATAAAACACGCCTTTTCTATGTTTTACACTCTGATAAAACATGGGTTTTTCACCAGTCAGAGCGCGCAGGGTCCTATCTACCTTATAAAATCTGTTAAAATATACTCTTACAAAAGAAAGGGTGTAGCTTAAAACAATGTTAAAAATTGAGATTTGGGGAAACAAAATGAAAAGATTTCCCAGTAATTGCTTTGCCATTTCCAAGTTATGGTGACAATCACGCACCGCTTTTGCACAGGAGAAAACGCTAAGAAAAAGAGCTACAGCTTACATTTAATTTTGCGTTCGTCTCCAGATCGAGCGGTCCGGGTTCGAACCCTGGTCGGGGACATTGTTTACTCCCACAGTGCCTCTCTCCACCCAGGTGTATGAATGGGTACCGGCGAACTTAATGCTGGGGGTAACCCTGCGATGGACTACCATCCCATCCAGGGGGGAGTAGTAATACTCCTAGTCGCTTCATGCTACGGAAACCGGGATAAGCTCCGGCTTGATGAGCCACTTGGCTATTTACCTTGAAAAATACTGAGACAAAGTGGCTCAAATTCCGACTTTTAGATTGATTCGTAACGTGAAGAAGAAAGTGGTGTAAAACAGGAAACGCAACCAAAAAACAGCATTGCCATCAGCATATTTTAGTGTCTTGTAGCGAGAAAAAAATTATGTCTTTTTCAGAGTCTGATTGAAACAAATAACGCTATTACACCGAAACAGTTTTTTTGTGACGTATTAATTGTGGTGGATTCAAACAGTTCATTTTGAAGTCAAAAATTACCGCCAAAGGGTCATATAGCCACTCATAGAGGACCGTTGATCCTAAATTACTATTTTTTTGTAAATTCATTGAGATTTTTGATGTAATGCGCTAGAAATAGATTATTATTATTATTATTATTATTATCATTATCATTATCATTATCATTATCATTATCGTTATCGTTATCGTTATCGTTATCATTATAATTGAAAGAAAAAACACGTCTACGCTCTAAAACTGTTTCCACGTTTTGTGGATGTGCAGGCATGGGTTTACCATTTGAACAATGTTTTTCTAACATTATTTTTTTTCGAAAAAATGGGGAATATCAAAATGTAGCACTTCAGAGCTTCGGTTTTTCAATTTTTTTCTCTCGGAGAATCGGAGGAATATGTCACCACAGTCCTTTAGAGACTCGCGTTCTCCGGGCTTACAAGACTTGCCTCATTGCACGGATGAATGTCTGGCTACAGCTCTGAAATATTCTTGTTATCACTGTCTCTGAAATAAGCTACGACATTTATGAAAGCTGTGAGTTTTAACAAGCATGAAGCAAAACCTAAGTCGGGATACTTTATCTAATTGATTTTTCAAATACTTCTTAGGCGAAGGTGGAGATTTGACTTTGTTCATGACTGGAAAAAAACGACGTCCTAGAACTGAACCTATGTACAGTGGAGGGAAAAGGAGAGATTTTCCGATTACTACTGGATATAACTCCGTTGACTGCATTGATTTTATCAGAAGCCATATGTCCAAATCTCAAAACATTTGGTCTGCCAAAGTTTCTATAATGGACGCTTCAGTGGGTGTTTTGCTTCTTCAAAAAGGTACAGCCCC